TGTGTGTGTGTGTGTGTCAGTCAATCAGCCTTCAGCAACCTTTCCAGAGGGAGTCTGAACGTTCTCGGCTCTATAGAGAGTTTTCTCTCAGGGAATATGACGTGGAGTAGTTTTAGTCGCGTCCTCCTTCCTCTCATGTAGTGGCTCCATATTCGTAAAGATGTTAACATTCTGAAATCTGTATATTGACAAACATACAATATGTCTGTAAACCAGTTTTATTGCATGTTGCTTTTTGAAAAAAACCAAATTGATTTTGCAGAAGAGAAAAAAGCTTCTTCTGTTTTTCTATCATTTTAATCGTCTCCTGCATCCTCACATACATTTTTTCGATCCTGTGACAGGGTCCATGAGCTCAAGGTTGGAAACAATTGACTTAGAGAATGAAACAGAAAATTCACAAGCAAATACAAAGTGAAACATGTGAGAGGCCGCTTCTTCTGAGCCATTTCTTCGATACGTTCGTTACTTACCTCCTCTGTCCTCTTTCCCCTCCCCCCTTGCCTCTCCAACCTTCTTTCTCTCCCCCATCCCATTAACCGATTGCCTGTGCACCATCAGGTGCCATAAAATCTGCTGGAGGGTTGTCAGGGAGCTACAAGAGGGACGGACAAGAGAGCCTTTGACCTTTTCCTCCCCTTGTCTCTTCATCCTTACCTACATCCCTCTCTCCTTTGGGCTCAGACTCCTTTATTTCTTCCTTCTTTCTTTTGGTCTCTCCCTCACCTGCTGATGAGAAGAGGTTCTCGTCAGCAGACCTGACCTTGTAGAAAGACCCGCTAATGAAGATTGGGCGGCGCTCTGCTGTCCAGAATGACTCATCTCTGACTGCGGACTGTCGGCCAAAACACCATGTGTCATATTCTGTGAAGTTCCAGTGCACTTGTTTAACTAATGGGAAAAATATGGAGAGTAAATTGGCAAAGGAGCAAAACTGACAGTGGTATTTCTCCTCACTGGCTTTAAATGAATAATATTTGTTTCACAGGGTTAGTTAATAAGTGATCTGCCATATCTGTGCAGTGTGAGCATGATGCACTGAAGTTCTTTACATGATCCGAAGCTTAACATTTGTCTGTAGTCAGCGACTAGTGTTGGTAAATACAGAGATCCATGGATTTATGATCATGTGCTGTTTGTTTCTGCTTGACACGTGGGAGTCAGTTAATTGTGTGGAGACTGTCTTTCAAAAATTAACAGTGTGAGGAGGGAGACAGGAGCAGATGTGGAAGGTTAATGAGCAGAGGAAAGTCTTTCTGTGGAATAGAGAGGAGCAGATGGAGAAGAAAAGTAAAATCACACGAGCAGAGAATAAGAGATGAATTCTGCTCAGACGACGGCAGGGAAACAGTTCAAGCAGACAGGGAAAAGACAAAGCATTCACCATCAGCGTCTGTCCTCCTGTTGTCCCTTCGCTAAATGCACCAGCCGGCACGGAGCCTTCACCACAATTCACTTCCATCCCATCTATAAATAACCTTTCTTGTAAAGGACGCACAACATTTTCTGATTGGAGTGATTCTCTCTCTCTCTCCCTCTCTCTCTCCCTCTCCCTCTCCCTCTCCCCCTCTCCCTCTCTCTCTCTCTCTCTCTGTGGGCAGGTGTCCATGGCAGCCAATGCCGGTCACTAATTGGTCACTGAGCCCTTATTAAAGATGCACTTGTATTGGTGCATCTCTAATGAGGAAGTCAGAGGAGCAATAAACAACGTTCTGCACTCGCAGCAGTTTTTCTCCACTAAAATCTCAGTTCGAAATACATTTTGTCCATCCGTGTTCTCTTCTGCCGCGTAATTATTTTGTGATGTGTTTCCTTTTTTCCATCTGGTAAACATGTAGTGAAAATGTCTTGATTAAAAAAAGGAACTTCATCATAAGTCTCTGCAATATCACCAGCTATTTTTATTGTTTAATTTAACACACACATTGAAGTGAATCTAGTCTTGGATGATAAAAACTGCATCAATCCAGTCACAGAGTGGTTTAATAAATCAGTACAAGAAATGAATCTCCACCCACAATGTTATTCAAATGTTACATTCAGCTGTCAGTGTTTAAGACTGGTGTAAACAATATGTACCTTCAAATGTCAGATAAATCTCTTTACTCTTTATGTAAATTCAAACGTTTCCCTCTCTAGTAAATCAAATTCACTGAATTCTCCCACAGTTAAATTCTGACTCTGTTCTCGTCCTCAGGTTCGGGGTGTTTGAGTTCCTCAGTAACCATGCGAAGGATGAGTCCGGTCGACTGGACAGCACCAGAGGCCTGCTGTGTGGACTCGGAGCTGGGGTGCTGGAGGCGGTTCTTGTCGTCTGTCCCATGGAAACTGTCAAGGTATATTACAAACTGATCTGTGGTCAGATTTCTGATGGGGAAGTGTCCCCTCCACCTTAAATGCACATGAAACAGCAGCGCACTGTGATTTGTGTGTCTTGTAATTTCTGGACAATCTGGTTTTATCAAAGAAATAAACATAACAGTAATATTGTTTTTCTAATCCTGAATTATAACATCTCACAGCTGTTCCTTTCTGAGCCGGGACATTACAGTAATAATAATCATCTACACAGAATAAGTCAGAAGATTCTGAGTTTATTATCTTAAGAGATAAACTGATTAAAGTATATACGTTTGGCACTGAAAGCAAATACTCAGGCAGAGTAAATATTTATTT